CCCCTCCCGGAACCGCGCCTGGCTCTGGGGCGCACGGCCCGGGGCCGGCGACCTTGAACCGGTTAGGGATTTGCAGATTCAGCCCCAGTTCCTTCTTGTTTGTCAGAGCCCAGAAAGGCGAGAGAGGCTTTCCACCAACGCCAGGGACAGGACCTGCGCCCCTTGCTACCGCGGTGGCCTGCCCACTTGCCCTGGGGAGCTTGTGATTAGGGTGTTTGTACTCGTCCTCTTGTTGTGTGTGTGTATGTTGTAATTAGTTTTTATATACAAATTATTGTTCAGCTACTTTATACATGTCAGAGTGGTCATTTTTTTTCCTTCCGGGGCTGGAAACTGAACCGGAGGCAGGTCTTATACACTGAGCTGCATCCCCAGCTCCCCGCCCCCTTTTTTTTGAGACAGGGTCTCACTTATGTAGTGAGACTGACCTGGATCTCACTATGTATGTAGCCCAGGCTAATCTTGAACTCACAGTGATCCTCCTGCCACAGCCTCCCAAGTGCCGGGATTACAGGCGTGTGCCACCATGCTGGGCTGCAGCCCTTTTTATATTGCATTTTGAGACACGGTCTTGCTAGGTTGCCCAGGGTAGCCTCGAATTTGTGATCCTCCTGCCTCAGCCTCCTGAGTAGCTGGATTACAGGCACCTGTGTGCCACTCACTATGCCTGGCTACATATCTCAGTGTATTTATCCCTAAATAGGGACAGAAGTACCTTCTCTGCCTTGGTGTAGGAATTAAGCAAAAGAATATGCCAACTACACAATACTCATTCCCTCCCTGGTGATTTTTTTTTTTTTTTTTTTTTTTTGTGCGCTCCACACTCATTTTTTTTTTTTTTTTTTTTTTTTGGTACCAGGCATCAAACTCAGGTCCTTGCGCTTGCAAGGCAGGCGGTGGAACCACTGAGCTAAATTCCCAGCCCTCTCCCTGGTGATTCTTGATGCAAATTTTGTCAGGACCCTGTGTCCCAAACCAACAAGTTTGTTAATTCATTTATTTTTATAGGGAATAAGTGAATGAAATAGAAAAAAAGCATCCAAATAGGAAGTTTGAGGCCAGCCTAGGCAATCTGACGAGTCTGTCTTAAAATAAAAACCAGTGGGCTGCAGATGTAGCTCAGTGGCACTTATACCAGAAAAATAAATAAATAAATACAAACCCAAAAGCTCCCCAGTAGCACAAAAGAAAAAAAGAAAAGTACCAGCTTCTTATTTCTCCTGGGACCTAGCTAGATTTGGAATGAGATTTACGAACCTCTGAGCTAGGCCAGGGGAAAGAAGGAAGTGAAGCAAACCTCCCGGCCTTCAGCTGGGGCCCTTGCCCTGCCTGTCAGCCTCAGCCGACCCACGGTGGTACCCTCCCCTCCGTTCTGTTCCCACTCTTCCAGTTTTTGGGGATGAGATGTGTATTTATCGAAGAAATGCAAATTTTTTAGGCTTGGATTCCATCACTCATATAGTTCGGGATGAAGATAACAATCTATGCATTTCCATTCTCCCTTCCCCAAATCAACCACTGAGGAAACCCAAGACTTCCTGCCGTGGTCCGTTCTCCCACCCTTAAAGGAAACTACAAAGCCAGATTTTCTGTTTTCCAAGCCCTCAGCCTTGCTCTTGCCCCCGCAGAGGTGGTTTGTGTTTACAAAGCAAAAGAAGACGGTGCGGGGTGTGTTCCAACCCTGTCTCACAAAGCAACAGCCGAAAGGCTGGAGATGGAGCTCAGTGAGAAGCGAGGCCCGGAGTTGGAGAAACAAATTGGAGAGTAAATGAAAAGGGAAACTTGACTCAGACTTGCTCAGCGGCCAGGCAGATAGGGGCTGTCGGAGCGGCCAACACCTGCTTGCCTCAGCCAGTCTGTGGGTGGGCAGGAGAAGCTCTTTGCATAAGAGTCTGGGATGCCTGCGCCCTGCCCTGACCCTTTGTGTCTGGGGCGGTGCCCCTGGGGTGAAGAACCAGAGCAGGGGGCAGCGGACGGGTGGACTGGCTGACCACATTCTTGGGCTACAAGGCAGCCAGACCCTACCTCAAAATAAAACAACAACAAAAGAAAAGCAAAAAAAAAAAAGGATGCAAGGGCCGGAGATTTAGCTCAGTGGTTCTGCCGCCTGCCTCGCAAGCTCAAGGTCCTGAGTTCGATCCCCAGGAAAGAAAGAAAGGACCTGGAAGGCCATTGGGATGCTGAATGGTGACAGAGGACAGAGAGCTTTGGAAGGGCAGAGAATAAAACTTGGGGAGCAGGTGAGGGGTCACACTTTCCATGTGGACTCTGCGCCATCCACCTTCCAAGTGTCTGTGACTCCTGAGGTGATGGGTTTGGTCCCCGGGCGCCTTAGAGAATTCCCACAAGGGAACCGATGATGTCCGTGGTCATGGCTTTGCCTGCCCTGCTGATCTATAAAATCCAGAAAAACACCTCATTACAAATATAGTAGGAGCCAGGCGTGGTGGTGCATGCCTGTAATCCCAGCACTAGGGAGGCTGAGGCAGGAGGATCACTGGGAGTTTGAGACTAGCCTGGGCTACATAGTGAGTTCCAGGTCAGTCTCAACTACGTAGTGAGGCCCTGTTTTAAAAAAAACAAAAAAACAAATACAGTAAGAACAAAGGGCCACGGCTGGAGGGCCGGGCCTGCAGTTGTTTGAGGAGCTGGAGGCGGAGGTGAGACCTGCAGCACCCGCAGCTCGTGGGGGATTCCTGGGGGAGCCTCCGTCAGCCCCATGCGCATGTCTCACCCTGCAGGCCCTGTAAACACGGAGAGTCAGACAGACCACGGGGATTAGCCTCCCGAGAGGTGAGAAGTAAAGAAGTGGCCATCAGTAGTAAAAAGGCCCTGAGCTTGGAATAAACTTTTTACTGTGTAGTCCACGCTAGCCTCGATCTCCTGCCAGTCCTGCCTCAGCCTCCCACGGTGCTAGGACTGCAGGCGTGGGCCATGTCAGCAGGCGGTCCCATTTCAGTGGACGATGAGGACTCCAGCTCTGTCCCGCCAAGATATTAAAGCCATCTTTGTTGAGTAAATCTTCAAAATGTACCTGGGATTCAGCTGCTTATTTTATTTTTTCTCATTTGGTTCCCCCTTTCCTAGTGGTGAGCGAGTTTTTGTTTTCTATCATCACAGGACCATGATTTGGTGAAACAATGGGATTTCAGGAAATGAGGTCCGGTGTGGTGCTACAGGCCTGTAATCCTAGCACTCAGGAGGCTGAGGCAAGAACATCACCATAAATTCCAGACCAGCCTGGGCTACACAGAGAGACCCTGCCTCAAAAAAAACAAAACAAAGGACTGGGGATTTAGCTCAGTGGTTCCACTGCCTGCCTCAAAAGCATAAGGCCCTGAGTTCAATCCCCGGTACCAAACAAAACACAGGGGAAAAAAAATAATTTCAAGAAGTTCCTAGCTGGGTGTGTGACCCTTGCTATCCTAGCACCTGGGATTTGAGACAGGACTGCAGGTTTGAGCCCAGCATGGGCAATTTAATCAGACTGTTTGCAAATAAATAAATGAAAGCTGGATGTGCTGATGATGCCCATGACCCTAGTACTGGGGAGGCTGAGGCAGGAGGATCACTGTGAGACGTCACGGAGGAGGTAAAAGGATTTAAAGGAGGTGGGCAGCCATGCTGGTCAAATTTCTAGAGCAAGCCGGGCATGGTGCTGCACGCCTGTAATCCCAGCACTCAGGAGGCTGAGGCAGGAGTATCGCTGTGAGTTCGAGACTAGCCTGGGCTACATAGCGAGTTCCAGGTCAGTCTCAACTATATAGTGGGACCCTGTCTCAAAAAACAACAACAAAAAAAAATTTTTTCTAGAGCAAGAATGAAATAGAAAGAAGCTGGGGGTGCTGGGGATTTGGCTCAATGGTTCCGCTGCGTGCCTTCCAAGCACAAGGACCGAGTTCGATCCCAGTACCAAAAAAAAAAAAAAAAAAAAAA